GAATCAGATAAGTACATATATAGTAAATTTAAAAATGACAAAGGAGTCATAATTTGCTTATATGTGGATGATATGTTAATATTTGGTACTGATTCAAAACAAGTTAAGAAAATAAACAAAATTTTATCAAATAACTTTTCAATGAAAGATATGACTGTAGTGAATGTTATTCTTGGAATTAGAATAATTCGAAATAATAGTGGCATAATCTTGTCACAATCACATTATATTAAAAAAGTATTTAAAAATTTTGATTTTTTAAATTGAATTCTAGTATCTATACCCATGGATTCTCAACTAAAATTAGTATCTAATACTGGTAGAATAATCGATCAATTACAATATACAAGAGCAATTGGTTGTATGATATATGCAATGACTTGTACAAGGCCAAACATAGCATTTGTTATTGAAAAATTGAGCAAGTACACAAGTAATCTAAGTAACTTGCATTGGAAAACAATTAAAAGAGTACTTCGATATTTAAAGAAACCAATCAATTATGGATTGTGTTATAATGGATATCTTTAAGTTATAAAAGGATATTATGATACTAGTTGGATTATTACTATGGAATATTATGTTTCTACAAGCAGGTGGATTTTTATACTTGGTGACGGTGTCATTTCTTGGGGTTCCAAGAAACAAACATGCATAATGGATTTCATCATGGTAGTCGAGTTTATTGCATTAGTCGCAATAGCTAAAGAAACTGAATAGCTAAAAAATTATTATATGAAGTACTTTTATGGCCTAAACCAATTTTCTCAATTTCTATCTAATGTGATAGTGAAGCAACTTTAGCAAGAGTATATAGTCAAGTATATAATAAAAAGTCTAGATATATTGGATTAAGACAAAGCTATATTCGATAATTAATTTCAGATGGAGTGATCACTATAAATTATGTGGGTTAAGTGAAAACTTGACGGATCCTTTAACCAAAGTCTTGCTAGAGAGTTGGTAAAAAAAACCTTAATAGGGATAAAGCTTAAGCTTATTAAGTAAAGTCACCCATGATAGAAACTCGATTCAATGCTTAGTATAACATCAAGTCTTGAGTTTAATAAGACAAAGTGTATCATCTATATGTGACTGCTAGCACTATAATAATGTTTAATGCCATTCCAGATAAAGTACTAGGTATCCGTAATGGTAAAGGAAAAATGAGTAATATACTCTTAATAGACCCATAACATAAATATGTTAGAGTGTTATAGTTACCAGAATACTCTTGATAAGAGCTACCTATATGAGTGTGAAATGTGACTGCTTTTAAGATCTTAAGAGCTTGGCTTTAACAACACTTATAAAAAGAAGATACAGACACATTGCCATAACTGTGTCATCGGATACCAAGTATTCATTGGGTGTTGAAATAATTGTGTGAGATAGTTTGGTTAACTAAATGGAATAACTGATTCAAAGCATAGTTAACCACGCGATTTTAGTTAACTTTAACTTGTTTTCACTAAGTGAAGGTTTAAATCGAAAGATACCTTCATTTATGCAATTGATTTTCAAGGTCATCATAAATCTGGATTATTTTGAAAATGGTGGGGGATTGTTAGAGATTTTTAAAATAAAATATGAGAAATAATCTCATATTGAAAAAAGAAAAAATAAAGACAGTTATTAAGTCTATTCAAAACAGAGAGATAAATCTGTTCAAAATAAATAGTTTTAACTATCTAAAAATAGATGATTTTTGTCTATTCAAAATAAACAGTCATGTCTATAGAAAGAAGACTTATCTGTTTATAAAAGACTTCTATGATTTTTTAAAAACACACATAAATAATTCTTGAAACTTTTATTTTTTCTTCAAACTCTAGATTTTTTTTATAAAAGTTTTACTGTAAAAAATCTTTATAGAAGTTTAGTGATCTTGTGATACGTCGATGATTGCTCAGTGAATTGATTTCATCAGTGCAAAACACAATCAATCATTGGGCTTCATAGTATTCTTAAGGTTTATTGCTTGCAACCTTTTTGTACACCTACTAAGTAAATTATATGGTGAAGGGCAAATAAAACCTTAAGAAAAATGGTACTGTTACACGCATTGAAATCTTTCTTTAAAATTTTAGATTTATCAGAAGTAGTTATTCTAGATTTTCAGTGTTGCACTAACATAATCAATTTTAAACAAATCTTTTATGCTATTTGAGTCACTATTCTTAACAATCTTTACCTTAACTTAAATTCTATCAAATCATCAATTTTTATGCTATATATGTTTCACTCCACATATAATAGAAGTCTTTGTAACAATTTTCTCTTGGTGTCTTCACATTTTATCGAACCTATCTCTTAAAACACTAACTCGAACTCCTTAACTTTTCAAACTTTGATATCAATTGTTAGAAAACAAAACATGCCTAGCACTCATACACAAACAATAGAATAAGCCTAAAATAAAAATAAGATTACACAAATATACTTGGTTTGACCTAACCCAAATTGACCTACTCTAAATTCAATCCACTAATAAATTAATCTTTATAATTGTGAAATTTTTGGAATGAGAAAAATCACAAAAAATTATTTACTCAAAAGTTAATCCCAAGTCTAATTACATTATTTTAATAGCTCATTTACTTAATTATTCTTTTGATGTCTAACTATTTAGAATAATCCAAATAAAACTAAAACATCTTATTTATAAGAGTGAAACCCTTGTAATTTTACTACTTATAACAATCAAGAAAATTTCTTAATTTTTATAGCTTTCTCAACTTCTAACGTGAAAATAAGAGATTTATGGCAAATTCTTAACATTCATTTATCCAAGAAAAACAATAAACCTAAAAGAATGTTCTTTCGGTACTTGGTGGGAAGAAATGCGTTATTGCTAAAGACTTTTTTCCTTGGTGAAATAACTAAGGTGTGAATACCATTGAGCAACGAGTTTTTTTTTTTAGGGTAAAGTTTAGTTTGCTCATGGTTTTCTATCACAACATGTTGCCAACAGTCACTAGCACTAATATAATGAGGGTTACTTCAAAATAGTATGATGGTAGAGTGCATATTTTGTATAGTTAAGGCCAGTTATTTATACTATATACCCTAAGCATGTTTCATTGATAGCATTACATGTTTTTATATGTGGCTATGTAGAGACCCACACCTAACTTACGAGGTATTATTGATTTTGACTTGAATGTTTCACAATTTTATCCTACAAACGGTGCCTCACAGATTTGGATTTAAATTTTTACATATATATCATACCATATCCATGCATTCTTTCAATGAGAGATTAGGGGCGTCACAATCTCTCCACCTTTAAAGTTTGACATCTTTATCAAGTTGAGTCCAATCACATGATCAAGATTAGATCAAACTTTAGGATTCTAGAGGTAACTCCCCACTGTGTAGCATTTAGTGACTCCTATAGCCCCAACATGTAGCACTTAGTAACTCTCACGATGTAATACTTAGTTCTTGTCAACTGATAACCACTCTGATACCATTTATAGAGACCTACACCTAACTTATTAGGTATTGTCTACTTTGACCTAAAAATCTCATGATTTTATCCCATTAAAGATGCTTTATAGGTTTAGGTTTAGGTTTAGGTTTAGATCTCTCTCCTATATATATCATACTATATCCACATATTTTTCTAATGTGAAATTGGGGACATCACAAGTTAAATGTTTTGTAATCAGTACTTCATGCCTATATCTATATACAACTTAAAACTTTAGAAATGGTTATTGTTGAGTGGTGAGTGAGGCCTCTTTATTCATGCTCGACGTGCATTCTAAAATTTAAGCAGTCTCTGTTTACCAAACTAATGGTACTATAATATACTTCTTTGTTAAAGGTAAATTGAAAAGAAAAAAGGTTTGGACCTGACTCAATAAGAGGAAGGGATTTATTAAACTAATATCTAGTTTGATGTTATATTTTATGTTCCCTTAAAATTGTGCTTTTCCAGTTCAAAGGAAATTTGCTATATGGTTTTATTCTATATGAACATTAAAATCTAATTTCTTTATTTATCATTAAAAAAAAAAAACCTTAAATTGCTTGTGAAATAATTTTGAAGTATGCTTTAGGTTACTTACAAGATTATACATTATATGTTGATGTACTTATATCCATTATTATTATCACTAGAATTAGACTTTATGAAACTTTTTTTTTAATTATGTTTTGAAAATGAGAAATAAAATTTCTATATCAAGTTTTAATGGAAGAAAACATATAAACAAATTTAAGTGTATTTAATTTTTAATATAAATTATAATTTAATTATATATAAATGTAGTTTTTATTAAATTAAAATATTAAATATCCTTATTAATATAATAAATATATATAAATATAAATTAAATAACTAATTGAATTTTTTTATATATCTAATGAGAATCGAGCAAAGCATCCCAAACCTAATATTGACTTGATCTAAATTATTAAAAAAGATAAAACTTAACTTAATCCTTATTTAAAAATAAATTGCATTGATTGGATTGTAATGAATCGAAATTTATTGGATATAAATTGTTTTGTTATCCTTACATCTATTTACTTTTTTTTACCTAAAGTAAAAATAAAAAATAAAAACAAAAAAAAAGAAAAAAAGAGAGGTGCCATGCGGACACCTGAAACAAGATGAAATAACTTAAATCTCTTTCCAACTTGATCTTATTTCAAAAAAAAAAACTCTTGATTTGATCTCAATTTTTAAAAAAAATCACACTTATATTGGATCAATACAAATCAAAATCAATTAAATATGAATTATTTTATCATTTCTACTTGTTTTTTTTTTACAAAATTATTTAATAAAAAAATTAAATTAAAAACCAAATAAAAAATAAATGTAAAGAATAAAATAAAAACTTAAAAAGGAAGAAATAAGAGATAGCATTTAGACAGATACATATTACTTACAATGATTATAATACAATTAACTAATCATAATCTAGAATTATGAGAACTATCAAAATTTTATATGACATTTACACTTATAACTAATAGACCTTACATAATTTTTTAATATAATTGAATAATTGTAACATTATTAAAAGAAAATTATAAGCGAAATGTTCCCATTGGACACCGTCTCTTTTCCCATTCTCTAGAACTTTATGGATGTTCTAATAATGTTCCCTGATATAGTTTCATCCTTCAAATTAGCAATGACGTCTTCCTACCCATTTTTCATTGAATGCTACAAAGAACACCTATTGGTCATACACGAAAAAGTTGAAAAACACAAACATATGGTAGATCAGAAGTAAGAATTACTACAATTAAACAAAATTGTGTGCAATATGTTTAATCAACCCATATTCCCTTTCAGTCAAAACTTCAATGATTCAAAAGGGATTGTATATCTACGTTATAAATTGCATGTTGCAATCCCAATCAAATTTTGACATAGCGTACAGTTCCTTTAACCAATCTGTCTTTGAAAATTTCACTTTGATTTCCTGGTGGACTTAGATTTCTTCATTTTGCTGGACTTGTCATCAACACTGGTCCAAGTATATCCAGTAGGAATAGCAAAAGGATCCGTTTGTTGTGCCGTTGAAGAAGAGCTACGCAGCAGCTGCTGCTGCTTGCTAGCAGAGACCGATTGACTATTGCTTCGCCTCAACCATGCCGTGGACGACCACGATGAAGACGATGATGGTAATGATGAATTCTGGTCCTCCTCTGTTTGGCCTCTTCCTCCTCCATAAGAAAAAAATCTAGGACTTGACATCGGAGTGTAGAACTGTTCTGTTGATTGGAGTTCAACAAATTTTGTGAAGGTTATCACCACCCTCACAGTTGGGACGACTGGAATTGCAACCTGCCCCCACCAAACAAATAAATCAATACTTTTAGCCAATCAAAAACAATTAAAACCCACCTTGTCTGAAAATCACCAAGTCAAAAAAGTGTAAAAAAAATCTCCTCCCATTACAGTTCAAACGGGAAAGGACAGTTTAACGGTGAAACAATGGTCCCACATGATTCCTTGGACATCCATGATCCTGCCACGTTGTCATCAATGGTTTGTCCAGATGACTTGGACGGATCATGGCGACGACAAACAAAAGAATCATGGGCCACAAGGCAATGCCTTGTCTGATGAGAAAAAGAAACCTCGGATGATGTGGGTTCCGTAGGGGGATCACCGCTGCTCAAATATAACGCTGGGTGAAGTCCAAGTCAGTGAATCCGACCAAAGACAGAGTTTCCCCCACAAAAATGAAAAAAAAAAAGCTTCCCCACTAATCAGAGAAAAAAGCAAAACAAAGCAAAGCACAGAACTTCAACGCACATCCTTTCCCTTTGTCATCCCTTGCTTGCTTGCCTAAGCATCAAAAGACTCCAAAGAGACACTCTCCCAAGGAAACAGACATCCACGTGGACCCCACATTTAAAAAAAAAAAACAAAATTAATACTTCGCCTTCTTACCTTGACCGGAAATGTGCCCGGTGGGAATTTTGTAGTCAGCAATTCTCGCATCCTTCTTACAGCTTTCACTTTATTAGCCAAAATATCAAGTAACGGTAACAACTCTTCTGTCTTTAATGGGAACTGTTCCGTTAACCAAACAGACGGCCGTAAACTTCGCACGTACTCTTTCTCCTTAGTTTGCGGAGGTGGCAGCACTGTTGTCGCCGTCGCAAAAGTGGTCGATCTTCTAGGAGGCACGGCAGCAGCCGCCGCCGCAGCTGAAGAAGGAAAAACATCCACACTTTTCCTCCCAACGGAAATCCACTCTCTCTCTTCTCTCACAAAGCTACTGTGCCTTCTCCTATCAGGCATGGCAAAATTCGGATTTTCACAAACCAAAAAACCGTCATCGTCTTCGTCAAGCTCTAAAGGTAGCACTTGTTCACTTCCCGCGACGTCATTTTCAGAACTGGCAACTTTTCGTGACCTAAAGCTGAAAATCACGTTATGTACTTCATAAACTTTAGCTTTCCATTCACCGACGCTCTCTGTTTTCTCTTGGCGTCTCCAGTTAGTTCTTCCTACAAGTTCCGCTCTGGTTACGTCCATTCCCGGTCTGTACACACTCGTTTGGGAACAAAAACCTGCAATGTCGGATTCACTCATCGGAGCTCCAGCATTTTCGAATGCGTCGAAGATTTTGCGTTCGTCGCGGTTGAGGACTAGCAATGAGCCACAAGGAATGTTGTGGAGGTGATCGCCGTCTCCGAGAAAGAGAAAGCTTTGATCAGCGCGTTGGATTTTTAAGCCGTCGAAGCCTGCTAATGAAGTATCAGCTCGAAGGTTACCGTCGCGTTTCCAGATCTTGTAGGTATCGGAAGGTGCGATTTTTCCGACGAATGGGATTACAGAGCTTTCGAAGTGGAAGGAGATTTCCATGTAAAAGTCCCGCATTCGGCGGAGGACGGCAATTACGCGAGGTAAACGGCGGCGCCACTTGCACCAGGCGGAGCGGTGGTGTAATTTTAGGAGAACCAACGCAATGTCGGAGCTTCGGCGACACAGTGCTTCCTGGAGAGGATTCCAGCCTGCAGCGTTCTGGAGCGACACGTCAGCACCAGCAGCAGCGAGTGTTCTGGCGGCTACGGCGTCGTTTAGGCGGACCGCGAGGTGGAGAGGAGTTTCACGAAATGGGACGTCACGGTGGTCGAGAACAGCGGAGATTTGGTCGGCTAGGCGCTCTTGAGTCAGTGAGTCGCACTCGGAGTGAATCTGAGCAGGATCAGCTAGCTTTGGTACAGTGGAAACCAGTCGAGTCAAAGTCGTATGATCACCCAAAACGACAGCGTAGTGAACAGGGCTGTGTTTGTAATCCTCCGGTTTGATAGCTTGAAATGGCGTCGTCGTAGACGCCGACGATGATCTGGACATTTTTCGTTTCTATTCTCTTTCACTACTACTACTTGATTTGGTGAATTTTAGCGATCCTTTTTCAACTTTTTTTTTTTTGGATGGAGAAAGTGAAAATGTCAAGGCAATAGCATAGGTGATGGGGTAATATCGTCTTTGAGTTAAAAAAAATTTTATTGGGCAGCGTGCAGAGAGGGACGAGACACACGCAATCTGGCACTGCTTTTGTTGATGCTTAAGACAGGTCCAGTCTAAAGACCAAACAGGCAAAACACCTCTCGCTTCACCGTCGGTTCTTTGTTTTGTCTTTTCCACTTTTCTTTTTTTCTTTAATTTAAATTCATGTTTTTGTATAGCTGCAGTGCACGATATCACGGGGTTAGACTGGACGGTCCCAATGATGATTTCCATGATCTTGCTCCTTTTAGTTGGATCTTGCTCTTTTCATCAATCACCACCAATCTAACGGTTGTCTTCTATTCTTTTGAGCCACAATTAATGAGATCACGGTCATAGACAGCCTTTTTCAAGTCTTTTAATGTAAGTATTTTCTGGAATTCAACACGATCTTTTAATTTAGCTCAGTATTTTCATATTTTGAATGCTTAAAAAAAAAGTTTGGAACAAATATTCCATCATCTCAATCATTTGGATAAGTATGGCTTTAAAATCTTCTCGATCTTTTTAGGCCATTTTTTAAGGTTTTTTTAAGGGTTATTATCTCATTTTCACACACATGAGAAATCGTAAGTATTAAAAGCTAAGGAAGGCATTTTCTTTACTTTGATTTACCACTTATATATTATTGAAGGGGAAAGACGAAGAGAAAGCGTTTGATCAAATGCTAAAACCAAGGACGATTATAATAGATAACGGTTTAGTTTTATTTCAATTTGTAAAAATAAAAGTACAAAGGTTTGTTAGTGTGAAGTATTTTGATTTGTCATAACCTAAATTTCACTTGAACCGAGTAATTTAAACATTTGAGTTAATTTGAATTGAATTTATTGATTTGAATCGGTTTAGGTTTTTTCTCATTTTTAAATTTTAAAGATTATTTGGCTTTTAATGTTATTTATATATATTTAAAAATAAAAGATATTTTTATTTTTAAAAAATAATATAAATGAATTAAAATTGAATTGAATGCAATGAAATCTATCCGGACTGAACCTTACTATTGGAATACATATCGGACGATCGGAATCCATATTGGGTGATTTGGTGCGAAATTATTGGTTTGGTTGTACTAGAACTAGAAATGGAACACCAGCGAGCAGTGGAAGTATTTGAAGTGAGAATTTGACCCCCAAAAGTAATAAATGAGTGCAATCTGAAACGGAATGATTAGTGGGGGCTTAAGAAAGAGGAAACAGAATGTTAAAAAGAAAGAAAGAGAGTCCGAGGAGAGGCTTTTGTCGTGACCCAGTGCAACCATGAACGAGGAACTATGTCTCTGGCAACAGATTTCACTCGCTACGCCATTTCAGCGTGTTCATTCAATTGGTATGATTAATTTTAAATTAAATTATTTAAAATTAATTTTTTTTATTTTTATTAATTGAATTAAATTTTTTAAATTTAAAAATTAATTTATTGAAATTAATTTAATTAATTTTTTATTAATCAAATAATAAAATATATTAAATTAGATTATATTTTAAATTTTTATTTTTTTATACATGAAACAAATTAAATATATTCTTCTAATAAAACTATTAAAAATATTTAAAAATTTTAATAACTTAAAATAAATGAAGTGGACAATTTCATATATTTTTTATTTTAGGTATAAGTTTTATAATATTTTGATTAATTTAATTTTTAAATCGAATTAATTAAAAATAAAAAATTTTAAAAATTATTTTTAAAAATTAATTAAAATTAATCTGATAATCAATTAATTAATCAAATTAAATTAATTTGATCGATTAATTAAATTAAACTGGAGTTACGAGCACTTATGACCATCCCCTAATCCAAAACTGTTTTGCCTCTCTGTATCTTTTGTCTTCTCTTTTTGGATTCTTATCATCAATAATGCTGATGTTTCGATTTCCATTTTCACTATATATATATATATATATATATTTAGTTTACTTGCTACAATCTCAAACCTATGATTTTACGTCAAATTTTATTTCAAGTTTTTAACCTTTTTAATCTGAAAAGGGACACGACAATGTCGATGAACCCTTTAGCATGGAATGTTCCTTTTTCAGGAGAGGTAGGTCACAATATCTTCATTTTTTTTTCTTTTTTTTTGGTCCAATTTAAGGGCATTTCATAATGACAAGTCGCTTTCTCTTATTTACGGATTTTTTTCCCCTCGCATCTCATTTCATTTCCATTTTAACCTTTCTCATTTGGTATCAGTTCGAGCAGAAGGAACAAAAAAAAAAAAAAATGGATGTTGATGGAATTTTTTTTCATCAAATTTAAGGCATTTTCATGTGCATATTCATAAAGAGTAGTTACTTTCTCTTATTTCTAGCATTCCATATGAATTTTCTAAGCTCATTAATATTCTTTTAATTGGACAAAGTAATTTAATTTGGTGAATGAATTAATATCAGCATGCAGGCATTTTCCTTTTTCCTAGATTTGTTTTCCATATCAAGAAGGCCATTACATCTGCTCAATTGGAACAAGTGTAGTGGCAAAAGAAGAATTAAAAATGAATACTCATGTATTAAAAGCATTGGAATTAAGGTGTGATAAATGATTTCATGGTATAAGGCTTTCTTTCCTTTTTCTTCATTTTGGGCCTAAATAGAGACACTTTTTTTAAATATTATTTTATAATATTGAAAGAAATTTATATAATGAATTATTTTTAAATTATAATAAAATATTTAATATGATATTTAAATTTTTAAAATTTATTAATTAATATAATACTCATCTCTAATATAATTAACTTAAAATGATGATATATGATGAATAAATAACTTTTAAAATATCATATTAATTAATAGATTCATAATTAAAATATTATATTAAAAATATTTTAAATTTAAATATTACATTAAATATTTTAATATAATTTAAAAACTATTTATGACATAACCCATTTGCAATCATAAATATTAAATTTTAATTATTAAGTTATAAATTTAATATTCTATCACATATCACAATAGCCAACAAAAACACAAAATCAAAGTTCAAAGCTTATGACTATTTAGTATTTTATTTAAAGCAAATATATAAAAAAATATGGATGAGTAATATCGAAGCGTGTTTCGTGTAATGCGTTTTTTTTTTTATGCTAAAAAATGAAGAGGAAGAGTTCCAAATCTATGCATTACTTAACTAACAAGGCATGAAACTCAACAAATATATTCTCTGTTTGAATTTCAACTTCAACATTTGCTTGTTGTCCACGCTGAAACAGAGCCAGCTCTTTCCGAGAAGGCACCAAAAACAAACTGAAAGCAACCTGATCGTCCAGGATCACGCATCCTTTCCTCCTCTTTGGACTCTTCCACGAAATATGCAAGAAAAATATATTCTACTCTCTCCTTCCTCGTCATAAGTCGACAAGCCAACAGCGTCCCTATATATAAGAGACCACCATGAAAGTCTATGTCCAACCTACTACTACTCTTACAAAAGAAAGATTCAATCCGCAGAATTTTCTTCAAGCTATAACCCAAATTTCCATGGCTCTCTTAAATAGCTTCGTCAGTTGCTTTTCTGGATCTAATAAGGTAGCGTCCGAGGGAGAGGACAGTCCAAAATCAACCAAAGTTAAAGCTGGTTGTGAAGCCAAATCAAAGGAAAGCAAAGCTAGGAAAAGCCCTCCAATTCCGATGACTTACTTCCCCATTGGAACAAGATTTTCTCGCTTGTGAATCGCTGAAACCTGCTGAATTTACTACCCTTGCATGAAAGCTGCTCCAAGGGCCCATACAAATATATATTCTATCACCATTCTTTATTATTTTTTCTTTTAAAAATTCTATCAATTTCTTTTCATCTTCGACGATATTAATAAATAAATTTTGTCTGATTCTTATATGATTTCTTTCCTTTAATAGGAAACGAAACAAGTTTGAATTGAGCAAGGATGTTGTGTAACTAAAGAATTTACCAGTCACTCATAAAACTCTTAAGTTTTGTCACATAATTTGATAAATCATGTTTTATTGGAATTGAATTTTAATTTTGTGTACAGCACTGGAGATTGAAGAATGTATATCTGTTCATATTAAATCTCTAGGCCTACTAACCTGGTCGCAGATGCAGTCATCAAAAATAGGCCTAGGCCCAAGAAAATCGAAGAGATAATCCAAAACAAAAATCATATTGTAGTGCTCGGGTCCATAAATATTAACTTGCTTTGATTGAGTAATCACTTCAACCTCAAGTTCTAAACAAATTGATCAAAGCTGAAAATGCAAGGGTTCAACCTGACCAATTATTTCTTATATAATGTACAATTATCAGGGGAAAATATATTGCAAATAGTAGTAGTTGATTAAACACCCTCATCTTTAACAAAAAAAGAAAGGATCATAGCTAACTCAACAACTATTTTGGTACAATTCAAGGACATGGCCAAAGATCTTTTCCTTTATCTGTCAATCAACTAAACAACTAATAGTCATGTAAAACTACGTAAGTGTTCCTAGCTTGGTTAAATTATAAACAGCTGGGCCCTTAAGCGTAGAAAATGCAGGCATCTATCAGAAAAAGGAAAGAAATGACAAAGTGATTAGTGACGTTTTTCATTTTCCAAGAAAATAAAAACAGAAAATGATTCTGTTTTTTCAAACTAAACACTGCGTTAATGTCCCTTTCTCTATCTTTCCCTTGATGCAATGTATGTAACTGGAAAGAGGATGGATGTCGGCTCATCTTTGATATACTGGGATGGGAAGCAAGCTTGTACTTCTCACTAATTTCATCGTGCTTGTAATCATTAACTATCTACCACTGTCATTTATTTTAGAAAAAGGAAAGTGAAAGTCCCCACCTCATGCCTCAAAGTCTTTGTTTTCCCTTCTCTTTCCACCTTAAACATCTTGGTATATCTATACCTCCATAATTGAATTATGAATATCAGAAACTTCGGGTGACAAAAAAGAAGACTAAAGAAATCCCGAACTTTGGAACAAGTTGGAAATACGATAGTCTAGTCATCACCTAATTTTTTGCTTCATAAATGAAGATGCGCTTTTAGTCATTTACAAAAAATACAAGGCAATACTTGTTCATTATATTTTCGTATCCTGCGAATGAGGTTAAGAAATTAAGAGAGGGTTAGTTAAATGGTGATTTTCTGCAGTGCATCATCCCACCAACTTCCCCAGTTCTATATATCCTCCGGTTCCATTCATTTTCAAGGAAAGTAGCCAGTTCCATTCATGACGAAATGGGAACACTTCCTATTTCCATTGTTTCCCTGGCATTATCACTAATTCTCATGCCTGAAATATCAGATTGTAAATTACTGCCCTTTTATTGAAAGGCCATAAAAGGACCCCACTCCTTATAGTTAATGTTGATTGACAAAGTCACAGTAACTGTACTGATGCTGACCTCCAAAAAAAAGCTTGACCATGTCAATTGCCAATCCATGTACACCAAATGGAAATAATGGGAACTTTGTCATGTCCCCAATTGGCATGATATCCAGTAGAAATGCATAGTTAAAATGAACTGGTGAAATTTTATATCACATGAGATTGTTTACTGTGAAGATTTCATCTTTAAAGCATCATAGAGAATAATTCGAGTTAGTTATCATGTTCATGTCCAACAACTATATAGTAATATTAGATTATAATTTTTGTTCTTGATTGGGTAACAACAACAAAAAAGGAGACTCCTTTAGTCCACTTTACAACAGTAAAAGAATGTGGTCCTAACTCCTAATTATTTCCATCAATACTCAGTAGTTAATGTGTGAAGGAAATCAGGAAAGAATATGCAACCTTAAATGATACATCACCCAAAAATTTTTTAAGAAAATTACTTAAGATTTTTCAAGAAAATGATCAAGTTACTAAGATCATTATTAAAATTAGGAAATATAATTATTTAAAAACTTAAAAATTACTTTAATAGTGCCCCTTAAAAATTTTCAAAGAAATTACATGCCTAACCTAAGAAATTTTTTTTTTCAAATTTACTAGCAATAAAATATTTAAGCTATGGTTGAAGCCAGCTCAGGCGTTACTGTAAAGTTTGGAAGGCAATGGGGTACATTTCCAAGTTTCCAAAACCGGTAGCTGATTACACCCATTGTATTTGTGTATATATGCAGAGTTTGGTGGAGGTAGCTGTTCCAGGATGTAGGCCAGGTCCAGTAAGTCCTTCACTTCACTTGTTAAACAAGACAGGAAAGAAACAAAGTTTCCCATTCAAAGCACAAATGGAAATGGTATCATTGGATTGGTTGGCATTAGCCTTCTTTTCTTTCTTTGTTTGGCGTCAAACACTCTCGAATCTAAGCAAACGTGCAGCCAACTTTCTGTTCCACCTACCACTTCTTCCCTTCCCTCTACCCGGTTCTTTGAATTTACTTGGACAATTGTTTGTTTTCTCACTCCAGCGTACCTTTAAAAACGCAGTGGAAAAGTTTCGTTTCTTTTTTAGTGTTTTTTGTCTTGTGGGGCCCAGTAACTTTTAACCAGCATTCTCGTTCCACGTTGTGTACTGCGTATCACCCAAAACTCTTCACCAACACCACCAAACTTGTTTCTTTTTCATGACTATGTTTCACTGAAAGATTGAAGCTTTGGCCTTAACTTTTTTCTTTTGGAAAAACATAGTAGGACATTGACATTGTGTGTTAATCGGTTTCAAATTGCTTCCTTTTTTGTTTTTGTTTTGATGGCTTTGAAGTGTGCTCCAATCTGGGTTTGTTCTCAAACGCCTCACTCTCATCTTGGGACACCGGATTTGGGGTCTAGCCGAGGTGGGATTGTGTTGGATTTGAGGCCTTCCAAATGGGAATGCTATGCTTTTTGTGCTTCGGCACAGAGAGCTATCAATCCTGTTGAAGATGAGAAGCCTAACACTCCCGGGGTCAAGACATCTCGGACTGGGAAGATTGATCAAGCTCAGGACAATGTCTCCAGTGCGTTTCACAAGGACTTGAATCTTCTTCCTAGTAAGTTAACTCGGTTATAGTTTTTTGAACTATTGTTTGGCTTTAATCTGTTTAAAATCTTCTTCCTAGTAATTTTATTGGGTTGTTGCTCTAGGAACTTTTTGGTGTGATGGTAGTTATACTCTGTTCTGTAAATTAGCATTAATTGAATTATGGAGGAAAAGAATTTTCTTTCTAATTTTTTTTTTCAATTTTGATGCAAATATTTGATTGAGGTTGAAACGGATCCAGAAATATGTTGGAGGGTAATGTAGATTACTCCAGTTAGCTGTTCTAATGTTTATAGCTATTTGTTGGTAATTTTTATGCCAGGTTCTACTTTGAATGTTTTTATTCCCTAAAAACAGATGCTTTTATCTGCAACCCTGGTAATCAGTAATGACTGATAATTGGAACATGCTCTAGGTTGAATGATGTTTTATTTGATATGCAGAATGCTATTTGTGGGGCTAATTATATTCAATGTCAGTTGTTTGAATGTAGCTGACCCTAGAGTTATGGGATATAAGGCTTAATAAGTTGTTTTGTTGTTGTAGTTGTTTGAACGTGCTTTAAGGATATGTAGATGTGAAAAGATAGACGATGGTTGCTATTGTTCCCAGCTGGGAAGCAGTGTTTTGTAGTATTAGATCCCATGGAACTATTGGTTTAGAGGAAAATAAGTCCTAGAAATATGATTCAATGCCTGGCAATTAAGATTGACCTTTTTAGTGGCTTTTGATGCTTATGATCTTAATTATGTTCTTTTGAAGCTCCAAGTAAGATTTTATGATGAATGAGGCATCTCTTATATTTATGAGCAATACCTTTTGACGACACGTATAGGTATGATTAGGAATCTTCTTTTTTGGAACTTTCGAGATGTGTGGCACTCTCACGTGGATGAATTTTGATGTTCTAGGTTTGAACTACTCCCAAACGAACACCTTCTGCATGTGTACGGATAAAGGAATATAACTTCTTCATCTTACATGTAGAAGGGATTAATTCATAGTTGTAGACAATGAATACCTTGCTTTCTTAGATATTATATTCTCAGATTATAATATGTATTTTAATTGGGTTGGATTATGTACCTATGTGAATTTACTTATTTTCTTGAGTTGTGGAGATTTGGTTTAGATATTCAAGCTATACATAAGATTGCTATTAAGCAAGAAAAAAATTTGATTGATTGTCAGCATGCACTATAAATTTATTGCCATTTTCTTGTATTTTTGTTTTATAGGGTGTTGTATATTATCTTTCTATAACTTGGACCCTACTTGGTTTTGGTTGATTCAATTTCTAAGATTGAATATATAACTGTTCTGTAGAACCCCTGTCTAAAACTGATCTATCTCCATTTCCTGATGCTGGTTCAAACATGCGGGTTGCTTTTCAGGTCTGAAACTTATTCATTCTTCGACTAAACATCCATCTATTTCTTGCTATACTTATATTAGCTGTTACTTATTTTAGGGAATCCCAGGTGCATATAGTGAGGATGCTGCCCTTAAAGCATACCCTAATTGTGAGACTGTGCCATGTGACCAATTTGAAGCAACATTCAAGGTTCGAATGATGAGTTCTTTATTGTTATTTTGTTACTGCATGCAACAAATGTCTCCATTATACTATTACATTCTTTTAACAGGCGGTTGAACTTTGGTTGGTGGATAAAGCAGTTCTCCCAATTGAGAATTCTGTAGGTGGTAGCGTCCACCGTAATTATGACTTACTCCTCCGGCATAGGTTACACATAGTAAGGGAGGTGCAGTTGGTTGTTAATCACTGCCTCTTGGCATTGCCTGGTGTTAGGAAGCAGGAAGTGAAGCGTGTTTTAAGCCATCCCCAGGTTAATCATGTTCATACTTCCATATTGCTTTAGTTTCTTGTTTGTTCTGGAAGTTACCTGATGTTTTGGGACATAGTACTAAAATATATTACATCACTTAAGAATTGGCTCTGTCAAATATGCAAACTTCAAGATCTGGCAGATTTGAAGGGCAGTTAACCTTTGTGTTGAAGTTGGGGGTTCAGATTCTTGTAATGTTAGTGTTCCTGACAATATCCTCATTTTCAGGCACTTGCTCAATGTGAGATGAGACTTACCCAATTGGGCATTATTAGAGTTAATGCTGATGATTCTGCTGGTGCTGCTCAGGTACTTTTGGAGATCTTCTTGTGCTAATTCAATTTCCTCATAAGTCATATTTTGGTCGTTTCTTGTTCTTTTGTTTTTCCTGATGCTCTACATGCTAAGTTGCTGGAACAGATGGTTGCTTCAAGTGGCAAAAGGGATATGGGCGCTATAGCAAGTGCTCGAGCAGCAGCACTATATGGGCTTGACATTCTTGAAGAAAAAATCCAGGTCAAACCTTCAGTTTTCTTATGCCTCACTGGTGCCATATAGATTCCTAGAAGAAGAGAAATCCTGGTTTCTTAAGAATTAATTGATTTTCGTATCATAGGCTTAGCACTCCGTGCAGTTATTATCACCATTCTGGGTGGTGGGAAGTTGGATTAATAGTATCCAACTTTTGTTTTGAACAAGCACTCTGGTCTTCACTTGGGCTACTCTGATTTCTTTCTCAGACTCAAGAGTTTATATTTTCTTCTAAATCACATTGTTTCAGACAGATTTGAGTTATCTATAAGGATTAATATAGCCAGATCAAAGCTTGTGCAGTCAATATTCATAAACTCTTACTATGTTCAAGACTTGTGTAAAATAGCATTGCCTGTTCTATTTTGGTTTTTATATGGAAAGTTTTTTTATTACCTCTAATCCTGGTATCTGACAAAACCAATTTGATTTGTCTTAATTCATCTCATGCATCAGGACGATGATGACAATATTACCAGGTTTTTGATACTCGCTAGAGATCCCATAATTCCAGGAACTGACAGGCTTTATAAGGTATAACTCCTTGAATTCAGTCACTTGTATTTTATTTGATGAAATAATATTTCCTTTTTGTTGATAATATTTCCACTTTCCAGACAAGCATTGTTTTTTCTTTAGAAGACGGTCCCGGAGTGCTAGTCAAAGCTTTGGCTGTGTTTTCTCTAAGGGGTATTAATTTGTCAAAGGTAATTATAACAAAGTGTTCAGTCTTTGGCATATCATAAGGTCAAAAGATTCTGATTGATTCTGATTGTTATCTCGCCTTTTGGAGCAAATTTCAGATAGAGAGTCGACCACAAAAAGGGCGTCCTCTAAGAGTAGTCGATGATTCTAACAAAGGGAGTGCAAAGTAAGTGTCATATCTATTGAGATATACTACTAGAAATTGGATCTTAGTAATTCCAGAATTAATATACATATTGATGGACAGTAGATCTTATTGATGCAATACTTTTCAAGGTATGCCTAATAAATATGAGTGGTTAAACAAGTGAGAGTTGAAGTTGGTGGTATGTGAAGGTTAAAAGAAAAAGAAATTGACAGCAGCACCTTGAAAATGAAAGCACAAAACTCTGCTTTGGACAGAGATTATCATAACAAATAAATAGTTAAATTAATGCAATTAATCTGATTGATGTCTGGTGCCAGGTACTTTGACTATCTTTTCTACATTGATTTTGAAGCTTCTATGGCAGAAACGCGTGCCCAAAATGCATTGGGACATTTACAGGTCAGTCCTCTCAAACTCTTTAATGACTTCTCAAACTTGTAATGATCATATTTTTTTTCCTACCAAATGTCCTCTTTTTTGGACTGAAATTCCAGAAGCCATTGGAATCCTTTTTTTTGTACCAAGATTTGTGTGGGTCAATAGTCAGTATATTCAGTACATGCGGAATTTTCTAAGTGATGCCACTAACCTTTCACATCTTTATCTGTTAGCTAAGTACATTGTCTCGTTTGGCTCAATCTGTGTTTTCTCATTTTATTAGAGCTTGATATCAGCTTGATTAAACTTGTTCTAGTCGGCATGTCTCTAACATTACTTGCACGTCATAACTGCATGTCCACCGTGTATTCCACCACGTGGTTTTAAAGATTCTCCACCTTTTGTTCTTAGCATATACAAATCTAGTTGGTGCGTGATGCTTGCTTAACTAGCTTCCAACGTATAATTCCTTGCCTCATAGTGGACTTACGTGGAAAATTACGTTTGCTTGTCCATGCAGCAGTTCCTTAGTTGACCATGAACCTACACTTCTTTTTTTGTATTTTCATCCTTTAGGATGAAAACCACAATCTAGCGTGACTTACCTTGCCCTTCTCTTTTCCCTTAATTCACCCAGACAGATTGAATCTGAAGATGAGATGTTATCTTTGGCAGGAATATGCTAAATTTCTCCGCGTCCTTGGTTGCTATCCGATGGATAAAGCTCTATAGATGGATAACCCCCAAATGGAGTACATTTTGTCATATGTATTATTTGACTCCGTCAAACCAGCAAGATGGAGACAATTCATTGTGTACATGCAAGTCTTGCCATGATCCAGTGAAGATGGAGAGTTTCCTGGAAAATGTCGGAAGCTTACTCATTGGTTAGAAGGCTTCTTCAACATGATCTACTCTCTTCTTTTCTTTTTAGCAGCATAACTTTTTCATCATCTTAAAGGAGTGATGTTCTATTTTGTGATATTTCGATGATGAGAGAGTCCAAAATCACAATGACAGGGTATATCCCTCTTGAAGGCGTTCCCTCATTTTCATGAAACAGTTGGCGTTTTATTCTTTTTTTTTTTTTAAGTTATTTCTTTGCTAGCATTTAGCTGTGGCTCTTTCTTCATGTCCCTTACCGTTATTATTATTATGTGGAGGAATTTAGAATTTTAGAACCTGCAAGCAATATTGTAGGGCACAAAGCACAATTAACGTTCAGCAACCGAGATGTCTACAGATTATTGTTGGAAACTTTAAACGAGGGTTCTATGGGCAATTCCATCATTTGCTTAATCAAGATTGGTTGCGACGTTTCTTACAAGTATCATAAGTTGTCAACAATATAGAATATGGTGAGAAAAAGAAATTTGGAGAGACATAAAAATGGATAAATACTAATTATACATTTTTTAATCCATTTAGATATTTGGAAAGGATGAAGGAAAGTATCTTAAATTTCTTATTTATTTTTCCTTTGAATTTGTGAGTGGAAGACTGGGAACTTGCCTTCTTGAGTTTATAAGTTTATTCAATTTTCTTCACTCTCGAGTTTCCCTGATCTGATCTTCTCCGAGTGAGCTACAGTCTGTCCAGTTGATTAAACTTGAATAGATATACTTTTATTTTTCCAATGACAGTTTAGCTTTCCAACGACTGTTTTTCACGCTTTATCTTAACTGTAGCCAATGAGAGATGCAGATGCTTGAGATGAATTCTGAGGTGCCCATTGGTTCATGGGAACTTTTATATTTTACCCTTTGGAGGCTACCTTAGTATTAATTTAACGCCAACATCACTTCTAAACCTCCATTATTTTTGCAATGAAATACACGCTAAATCCCTCGTAAAGATGGTTATCGAGGCATGAGAGTCCAAGTCCACCTTTAATGAATGGACCTCACCTTAAACAAGGTTATATATCGTGAACATCAATCCGACTATCTTAAATCAAAAATTAATATCTATAACTGTTAGGGGCATAGTGGTTTTTTTTCCTCTTAAATCCTTTAGCAAAAAATCAACAATATCTTTATCATTTATGCCGACTTGATATATTAGATCGCTTGACATGATCAATGCCACTTCAACTTAGTCTTATCTTAATTGTTCTCTTATGGTCTTTCTCAGCTTACTTATAAATATAAAAACTCAAGCAACATGAAGGCAAGTTGATCCCATTCACTTCTCTCTCTTTTTTCTACTTTTTTGCTGACTTGATTTTTATTAACTTGCGCGTCGAAATGCAAATGTAGGGAACACTTTATGCCTTTGCCTCTAACCATCATTCTCTTCTGTATTCACAAGAATACTTTTAGGTCAGAGTTCGACACTAACATTTGGCACGCCATGTAGGAGATCTCATATTAGCCGAGCACAAAACAATGCTACCAAGAAAAAGAACCTTAGAGGAAAGAGAGGCAGCTAACTTGGCTGAAATCGAAACTCACATTAGCCAACATTCTGTCCGCACAGCTCAACCATAGGCGGGACTGACCATGGAACAATTTCAAGCCCTGACAGAATAAATACAAACTCTCAAGCAGATGTTGCAAACTATAACCCCAACACAAGTTTCAAAAGTGTCAAACTTAATCACACTTGGCTGAAAAGCTACTATCGGACAACCGAGCTATGAAAAAGTGAAGGCCTCCTCAGCCTTTAGAGAAAAAAAACATACAAACCCAACTCATCACCGTCTCAGCCACAATTTAACACATGCCACAACTAAAAATCTAAACAAATAGGCCATGAATTTCAATCGAATAGAAAATTGGAAGATCGGATATAAGCCATGAAAAAAGAGCTAAAAATGAAGGTAGTGGTATTGGAGGATGAGCTCAAGTTCCTAGAGATCTCACCCTTTACCAAAGAAATTGATAGAGCCATGCTTCTCAAAGGATTTATAATGCCAACCTTGGAAACATACAATAGTACTTCTGACTCTTTTAATCATTTGAAACTTTTATAAAACCAACATAATGATGCAGGAGGCAGACAAGGCTCCAATGTGCAAAGGTCTAACCACTATGTTAAAAGGCATAGCTCGATCTTGGCACAGCAACTTGGAGCTGAGGTCAATCATTACATTCAATAAGCTCAACCATTATTTCTTGTCCAGATTTATGAGTAGCCAAAAGAGCAATGACCCTAAGCTTAATGTCAATTCACCAAGGGCAGAATGAAACTTTGAAAAGTTATGTCACACATTTTAACACCAAGCTTTACAAGTTAAAGACTTGGAATAGACAACCATTGTTACCACACTGACAAGTGAACTCAACGATAAAGCTGACATTATCGCTAGAACTGACCAAAACTCTGGCCAATGTCCTGTTAATAGTAGAGAAATGTATTAATGCTGAAGCTATAATGAAAACTAATTGAGGTGAAAGAAGTTCATTTTCCCTCTTTGATGGTCAAGGTGAGAGAAACTCATCCTTATTCCTCAATCATAAAAAAGGTAAAGATTTTTATGATTCCCCCAAGAAAGAGACGACATAGGGCTAGAAGCCCTAGTGGAGAAAGAAGCTACATTAGATACCTTCCATGAAAGGATTTAGATGCAAATTGAAAGAAATCTCAACTTCAAATGGCCTAAGCCATTGAGACAAAATACAAGAAGAGATCCGACAAAAGAAATATGCTTTTCACAGAAACATAGGCTATAATATCGAAGATTATGTCAACCTAAAAAATGAGATTGAAGCTCTTATAAGACAATGTCAGTTGAAGAGATTTATGGGACAGAGAAGACAAGACCAACTTAGAATTGACTACAGACAAGACCACAGAGTGCTCACCCAGGCAAGAGGGAAGAACAGAGCAGGAAAAAGAGATGCTCAAGGAGAAAAGTCAAATTAAAAAGAAGGCTAAGCTAACAATAATAGACCAATTATTGGGGTAATTAACGTGATCACATGAGGTAATTCCACCTTGATGAAAAGGAAGTTTAACCCAGGCATGGTAATGACAATAGGCACATTGGCCAAAAAAAAAAGACTGAAGAGATGACCCGATCTCATTTAGCTCGAAAGATCTGAAAGAAATCCAACATCCACACGACAATGCCATAATGATCACAGCCCTGGCATATAACTATGTGGTAAAAAAAATCCTATTTGATAATGAAAGTTTGATTGACGTCATGTACTATAGTTGTTTAAAAAAATAAGGATCGACGAAGATTAGTCAAAACCAATCACCACCACATTAGTGGGGTTTGGGAATGAGCAGGTGCCCATAAGAAGAACTATCAAGCTTTCGATCTCCTGAGAGATTGAACCAAAGACAATTTCCATAATCATAGAATTCATGGTAGTGGATGTCCCATTTACCTATAACATAATATTAAGTTGACCTAACCAATTTGTTATATGGCTTATAAGCTTAGCTCCTTATTTGAAAGTGAAATTTTCAACACCTGAAAGGGTTGAAGAAGTTCAAGAAGACTAGTCCACGGCACGATAATGTTACGTCACAATAATAAAAGGTACGACTAGGAAGAAAACAAGCAACTCAGTCGATACCAAGGTCAAAAGCAAAGAAGAGCCAACATAAAAAATTGACAAGAAGCAGGAAATCATTAACAAAAACACAAATGTAAGACCAACTGGGAGAAGCACGCTCTTAAGCTGCTTTGAGCTCTTAAGCTTTGAAAAAGTTTAATTTTGTTTCATTTCTTGAATTTTTTAAAACAACATTAGAAACGACTAAGCTCTTAAGTCGGTGCGAACAATTTGATGTTACTTGGACTAAGCTAAAATGCCAATCAAAATACAACATTAAATAAAGAATGTACTTCACTTTTACTAATATGTTTAACAAGTTTTTTCAATATACTAATCATTATGTTGGGATCTATTTTCGCAGGAAATGATCTTGACCTAATTGAACAAAAAAGATATTTGATCAAAAATCAAACTCGAATGCAAATCAATCCAAACCAACTAAAGATCTCATGCAATCTCGTTCTAAAACAACATTTATCAATAATACATATAGATCGAAGCCAAGCTCTAACATAAAAACCAACTAATTTAACTTATAAAAGATAATACCAACCCGTTTGCTTAGACGCCATTTGATATGCCTAAAATTGATATTGAAATGATGGTCCACAAACCACACACTAATCCCGAGGTAAAACCAGTTCGACAAAAGAAAAGAACTTTTACCTTGAAAAACAATAGTCATTAAAAAAAGTTAATAAATTATTACGAGCTGACTTTATCAGGGAGGTCTATTACCCTGAGTGGATAGTCAACATGGTCATGGTCAAAAAGTACAACAAAAAAAATTAAGAATGTGTGCAAACTTTACTAACTTGAATAAAACTTGCCCAAAAAACAACTTTTCCCTCCCTAGCATAGATCAACTAGTAGATGATAGTGCCAAGCATGACCTCCTAGCTTTATGGATGCCTATTTCGGTTATAATCATATCAAAATGTTAAAAGAATACTGGGATAAAATGAACTTTATTACTGAAAAAAGCCTTTATTGTTACAAGGCTATACCCTTCGGATTAAAGAATGCAAGAGTGACATACCAAAGATTGGTGAAGAAGGTGTTTAAAGATCAGATCAACTGTAATATAAAGGCTAATCAAATAGGTAGTAGAGCTTAACGAATTTGACCTATACAGTTCACCTAAATTGGCATAAAAATCATAGGTACTGACAGACTTAATTTTAAAATATATCTCGGTACAACCAAAAAAATAGTTTGAGAAAAAAGAGAAAACCCTAGATAAGGATGATTGGAAGCTTTATGTCGATGAATCAGCTAAAAGCCAAGGTGGACGAGTCACTTTATTCTTATTAGCCTGAAAAGACTACAGTATCCATATGCTTTGAGATTCAAGTTCAGGGCATCTAGCAATGAAGCAAAATATGAGGCGTTGATAGCCGACTTAAGGTTGGCAATTGAGCTGAATGTTCAACACATAACCGCTTATAACGACTCTCAACTGGTGGTTGATCAGATAAATAGAGAGTTCGAAGCTCAAAAAGAGGAAATTCAAAAGTATCTTGACAAAGCACTAACCATGGTAGC